ATTTGGGGTGACCTGGAGAGACACAGGAGGGTCCTGGAGGGAATTTGGGGTATCCTGGGTGACCTGGAGGGACACAGGGGGATCCTGGAGGGATTTGGGGTGACCTGAGTGGCTTGGAGAGACACAGGAGGGTCCTGGAGGGGATTTGGGGTATCCTGGGTGACCTGGAGGGACACAGGGGGATCCTGCAGGGAATTTGGGGTGACCTGGAGAGACACAGGAGGGTCTTGGAGGGGATTTGGGGTTCCCAGGTGACCTGGAGGTAGAAATACCTAAGGAACAGCCCCAGGACAGGCAGAGCAGAGCTGCTGCAGGCGGTTAATTAAGCTAATTAGCTAACGAGGGGTACGTACGCCAGCTGAGAGGCCGCTGTTTGCCTCAGCTTCTGCATCTGCTGCTTCACCCCGTCCTTGGACAGCGAGGTCAGGCGGGCATCGCCCTCGGGGGGGACGTAGGGATCCATGATTTCAGCTGGGGGTGGGAAAAGCAGCTCAGGAGGAGGCTCAGAACGCAGGGAATGGAGAGGGGGGGAATTCCAGAGAGAGAATTCCTGGGAATTCCAAGTAGAGAATTCCTGAGATAAGCTTGCCCACAGGTGCTGCTCCCTCACAGCCCAGGGAAGGCATCAAAATGGCATCAAAATGAAGTTTAGAGGGAATTTTGGGAAGGAATTCCTCCCTGAGGGGCTGGGATGGAATTCCCAGAGAAGCTGAGGCTGCCCCTGGATCCCTGGAAGTGTCCACAGCCAGGTTGGAGCAGCCTGGGACAGTGGGAAGTGTCCCTGGATGGAATTTAAAGCTCCTTCCCTCCAAATCTGGGGTTCTGTGGGGTTCCCCAGCCCTGGCTCGGAATGGAAAAGGGGATTTTGGGGTGGAATGTGGCTTTTTTTGGGAGCATGGCCTTTCCATTCTCCTTTCCTTCCTCTCCAGCCATGGCAGGGGTGGCACTGGATGGGATTTAAGGTCCTTTGCCACACAAACCATTCCACGATGCCACTTTCCAGATCCTTGTAGCATTCCTCCAATTTTTCCTCGTGGAGAAATGGACTCGGGAGGGGATTTTGGGAAGAAATCTGAGATGTCCAGAGCAGCTGTGGCTGCCCCTGGATCCCTGGATTTGTCCCTGGACAGGACTCGGAGCAGCTGGGATTGGGGAAGCTGCTCCTGCCCATGGCACGGGTGGCACTGGATGGGATTTTGCCACCCAAACCATTCCATGATGCCACTTCCCAGATCCTTGCAGCCTTGCTTCACCTTTACAGGTAGAGAAATGGACTCGGGAGGGAATGTTGGGAAGAAATTCCTCCCTCCGAGGGTGCCCAGAGCAGCTGTGGCTGCCCCAGGATCCCTGGAATTGTCCTGGATGGGGCTTGGAGCAGCTGGGATTGGGGAAGCTGCCTCTGCCCGTGGCACTGGATGGGATTTTGCCACCCAAATCATTCCATGATGCCACTTCCCAGATCCTTGCAGCCTTGCTCCACCTTTACAGGTGGAGAAATGGACTCGGGAGGGAATGTTGGGAAGAAATTCCTCCCTCCGAGGGTGCCCAGAGCAGCTGTGGCTGCCCCAGGATCCCTGGAATTGTCCTGGATGGGGCTTGGAGCAGCTGGGATTGGGGAAGCTGCCTCTGCCCGTGGCACTGGATGGGATTTTGCCACCCAAATCATTCCATGATGCCACTTCCCAGATCCTTGCAGCCTTGCTCCACCTTTACAGGTGGAGAAATGGACTCGGGAGGGAATGTTGGGAAGAAATTCCTCCCTCCGAGGGTGCCCAGAGCAGCTGTGGCTGCCCCAGGATCCCTGGAATTGTCCTGGATGGGGCTTGGAGCACCTGGGATTGGGGAAGCTGCCTCTGCCCGTGGCACTGGATGGGATTTTGCCACCCAAATCATTCCATGATGCCACTTCCCAGATCCTTGCAGCCTTGCTCCACCTTTACAGGTGGAGAAATGGACTCGGGAGGGGATTTTGGGAAGAAATTCCTCCTTGTGAGGGTGCTCAGATCCTGGCACAGGTGTGGCTGTGGCTGCCCCAGCATCCCTGGAATTGTCCTGGACGGGGCTTGGAGCACTTGGGATTGGGCTGGCACCGGATGGATTTAATGTCCCTTGGCAGGGGGTGGCACTGGATGGATTTAATGTCCCTTGCCACACAAACCATTCCATGGTGCCACTTCCCAGAAATGTCCCTGGACAGGGCTTGGAGCGCCTGGAATTGAGCAGGGGCAGCACTGGAGGGGCTTTCCCATCCCAAACCCCTCTGGAATTCCACGATCCGAGGAAAAGGCACCGAGAGCTTTGGAGACGAGGCAGGGAAGCCGCTGGGGAAGGAATCCTGATTCTCATTCTGTCTCTCCCATCCATCACCCGTTTTGCCGTACCCGTGCAAGCCAGGAAGAAAGTGCGCTCCATGCGCTCGTCCGGGAACACGGGAGCCGCGGATCGCAGCCGCCGCTCCTTCTCCTCAGCGCTCAGCTCCCGAGCCCACTCGGGCACCCGCGGCCATTTCCTCCGGCCCCTCACCGGCACCGCCACACAGGGCAGGGCCTTGGCGCGCAGCAGCGACTCGGCACCCTGAGGAGAAACAACGGCAGAGCGCGGAGTGAGCTCCGCTTCACCTTCATTTCCCCTCAGCGCCCACACCGCTGATCCACAGCCGCTCC